CCAACCTATTAGCAATGTTCTCCAACCCAATAGCGATGGCCTCCAACCTAATGCCTTGGAGCATTGCACAGCAAATAGGGCATCGAGACATTCAAAAACAAATGCTTCGGGCATTGTGGCATCGTCCAGTGGCTTGGACCCATCACATTAGTGGTACAACCACTTGCATGCTGGTTTCTCCTGGCTTTCGTTCCCCTTTCTCAGGTTTTAGGAGTGTCTTTTGCGACAATGCTCGTGCAGGTGACGTGGGAAACTCTTGTAGAACACCCTCGTAATAGATAGGAAGCGGTGCTTGCTTGCGACTCTTGGCACTCTGGGCCGGACACTCTCCACTATGGGTTTAACGTTCATCAGTGGCAATCATGCAGCTTCACCGGAGAAGACGCAGCACTTCACCAGGTCTGTCGGTGCACAACGCACAACGCGCCGCTGAACGTACAAGTGCGCTTTGAACGGTCCCGATTCCTCACATCTACCAATCCAAACACTGGGCTAGCAAAATATGCACCACATGCATGCTTATTGGATGATTTTTAGCATTTTCCAATGATATTATATGACGTTATATGATCACCTGGGACCAGCATATTACCTGAGACTTCTCACAAGAACGCACCTTCCAAAAGCAATCCTGAAACAAATGCCAATGACTGTAGCAAAATTGAGCCAACCTTCCTTATAACGGCGGAGCTCCAAAACCCACTGCCTTCCCCAGCCACTGTAGGTAGCCTCCCTTAAATTGCTGAACCTCTGGAAGTTTGAGCAGCAGATGATGTGACAGGTTCAAGCCATGAACTGTCAGTAGTGATGCACGGCACAGCTCTCATTCTCCACACCCGTCAAGCATAAATGACACAACTATACACAACTTATTTCTTCATGCAGCATATATGAGATATCTCTGATGAGCCTAGATAGATCGCATGCTTCCAAAACATGTTCCGTCATAATGGCAATATGCGTTTGCGTTTGATTTACGCACAAGAATGGGCAGAAATTGAACTCTTCTTGGTCATTGATGGCGGCACAGGAACTTCCATTACATCGCTGTGTCGCGCGGGCGTGTGCGGCTAATTCGCTTCTATTTACAGTACATTCATGTCTCTCGAAATCGTCGACGTGCATTTCGACTGCGCAGGCTCGCAAAATCTGGGTGGCCGCGGCGGGTGCTTGTCGCGACTGCGCTCTCGTTGTGGTGCCGTATGCATTCGTTTTCGTGGCAAGCGCAGAGGAAACCTCGTGTTTTCCTGGGCCAAAGTCGACTTTTCGTGACAGGTGCAAGGGATCGGAGCGGTTTACTTCGAAATGCAGATTTCGTGGCAGGTATTTACAGCACTTTGGACATGGTGGTGATCTTCGACGAGCTCTGGCTTCGAAACAGGTGCAAGGACCCCACGGAATCGTCTTGGGAAGTTTTGGGCATGTGGCTCGTTTGCAGCTTTCGTGGTACGCAAAGCACTTTGTGAACCTCGAAGTGCAGATTTCGTGGCAGGCGCTGCACTTTGTAAACCTCAAAATGCATCAAAATGCAGATTTCGTGACAGGCACAGCACCTTGTGAACCTTGAAGAGCAGAGTTCGTGGCAGGGGCAGCACTTTGTGAACC